CTCTCTCTCTCTCTCTCTCTCTCTCTCTCTCTCTCTCTCTCTCTCTCTCTCTCCCTTTTCTGTCACCCTCAGTCTGTGTGCCTGTCTGCCCCTTTATACTTGACTGTGTGTCTGTCTGTCTGGCTATAAAACAAGAAATATTTGAAGACTGCTTAGAGAAATTGCTAAGATCTCTAGTTGTCACAGTACAGCAGCCTGTATGCCAAGTGCAGCGATTCAGTAGACTTTATTCAGGTACCTAGGAGGTTAAATTGTATGGCTAAGGCAGATGAGTCATACATTCATCAATGACTTTGTAGATTCACACACACTGTATAAATTTAAATAAAGGTTCTTTTTCCTGTAATGGTATAGTTGTGGTCAATGTATATTAAGGGGTTTCTTTTCCTTCCTCTTCTTTTATTCATTCTGTTCTTTTCTTTCTTTTTTGGAATCTCATTCTCAATTCTTGGTATTCTCTCTTTTTCTCCTCCTCTTCCCCATCCACTGATTTTTCTTCAACTATTTCTTGATATAAAAAAAATGACTGATGCTCATAAATAAGCAACACATCCAGTCACAGAAGAACCAGAACTGAACTTTGCATTACATCATACTCCTTATAAAAATTGAAGTTATTTGCAAAATAATACTTATAAGTTTAGTTAAATGATTCCACTACAGTGAAAAGCATTTCTGAATGGGAGTATTGCCATACTGCTTGACATCTGAGTCACCATTTTTGAGACAAACACAAAAACAGAATAAGAGTGAATGTTATATTTAGCAAAATATGGTTTTGTGGATATGTCCTTATGGAATATCACTTGCTCCTGATCAATTTCCCCTAAAACACAATCTTGTTGAGTTGCTATTGAGTTCATATAAAATGTGGTGTAAAGCATTTTTCAGGATGCCTATTTGTCTATAATCAAACTCTGTCTTTGCATAAGCTCTGTAGTGTCTCTGGTGTCTGTTACTTGGCAAAACATTTTAGAGTTTCACTTATATTATAGCATCATGTTTTAGTGGTTTTTCTTTCTCTCTGAATAGTATTCCATCATACAGATGTACCAATTTGTGCTGATGAACATTTATATTTTTTCTTTTATGGTCATTTAGAAAAGTGTTTCTATGAACATTAACCTCCAACACCTTGTATGGAAATTTTTTTAAAATTGTTCTTGCTTAGATGTCTAAGAGTAGAATTGTTAGATCATCTGGTAAATGTGTATTTCTATGTGCATGTGCATGTGTGTGCATGTATGTATGTTGCTATGAGTTGAGCACAAAGCCATATAACTACATGCCCATACCTTATTTACTTTATTTTGCATTATTTTTTTTTTAAGACAGTCTCACTCAGTTGCCTATGTTGGTTGTGATCATCCTACCTCCCCTTCTAGAATACCTGGGATTATAGGCCACACCACTGACATGACTTATATTTAATGTTTTTTTAAATTATCAATATTTTCCAAGGTGGCCTTCAAATTTTATATCACTAGTACTAATATACGAGGATTCCAAGAATATTGTCCATCTTTTTTTATTATAGAAATCCAAATATTTTGGTTTCCTTTGTATCTCTCTAACAGCTAATGATTCTGAGCATCTTTTCATGTGCTTACTGGCTATTTTCTGAGTACACTTTGAAGAAATGTCTTTTTTTGATATTTTGTTTTGATATTATTTATCTTGTTAATGTTGAGTCAAACAAATTGTGTACACAAAGTCACTACACATTATACGATAAAAACACTCAGTGTACTTTTAAAATAAATAAAGTTGTGCTGTCATAGCTGCCTTGATATACTGAATCACTCAAAACATTTACTTTTTACGGTCTTTTTGACTTTGCGGAAGAGCGAGAAGTCATAAGGTGTGAGAGGCAGTGAATAAGGAGGCTGAAGACACACCCTAATACTTTCCTTGAGCCTGCCTTTCACTTGGAAAGCATTCAGCGGGAGCATTCCCCGCACTTTTGGTCACACCCAAAGACATTCAGGAAAGAGGACTTCCAGAACTGCTTCAGAAAATGCAAAGATGATGAGACACATATAGACAGTATGAGGACCAGTATTTGGATGGAGATTAATTGCAGTCAGTCTCTTACTATAATTTTTTTAAAATGTAAACAGTCATGTACTGTTCAGACCACCCCTTGTACGATTTCCATGTAACTTCTCCTATGCTATGACTTCTACTTTCATGTGATTTGCTCTCTGTTCATTATTTTTCATACAAACAAAATAAAACTTTTAATCTAAGAAGGCACAGATAATTTGTAAATCGCCCTGACAACTGGAAAGGTAACTGGTTATCTTAACTGAAGTTCTTCAAAAGCTAAATGTTATGCTGTGTTCAGATGTCCCCCCAAAACCTCATGCAAGCATAGGTGAGGCTTTTGCACAGGTGGCTGGATAGAGTATGTGAGGCTGGAATTGATTCTTGGTGCAATGTGAGGATAAATGCCACTAGGGTTAAGGGTGTGAGTGCTACCCACCCTAAGTAACCTGAATAAGACATGAGGAATAGAAAGAGCTATGGTCATCCCTTGCTTATTTGCTACCTTCTGCCCACCATGAACTGTTTCTCATCTGCAATGACCCTCTGCCATGACACCTTGCCTTGGAGACAGCTGGTGACGGACTGAAGCCTCTACAAACTGTGTGTTAAGTAAGCCTTTTCCTCCTTTAACTTGGGTGCCAGCTACTTTGTCTCAGCAATAAGAAAAGTAACTCAGACACTAAAATAGAAAAAAATAAATTAAAATGCCAGTTGTAATAATTGTCCTTACAGATGCATTTACATCTCTTAAATCACGCAAGTGTTTTTAAATATTTTCATTGGCTATCCATAAGTCTTTAAATTTAAAGGATAGCATAAGAAGGGGCTGGGGATTTAGCTCAGCGGCAAAGCGCCTGCCTGGCAAGCGCAAGGTCGTGAGTTCGGTTCCCGGTACCGGAGAAAATGCAAAAAAAAAAAACAAAAAAAAAAAAAAATAAACAATAGCATATGAATAAATTGCAGTCCCTTTAGGATGCTCATCTGTCACTTCTTCACTAAACTACTATTAGCAAATTAATATCTGTTAACACTAAATGAAGCTTTGTTCCAAGCATGATAAAGCTATGTAAACTGAAACAAAAACAAAAAAAAAACTAAGAATTTGATGTGATTAAATAATGCACATGGAAAATATAGTAGTAAATGTCTTGCTGTTAAGGAAACTTATAAGGAACTTCACAGTTCTTGATTTTCATCTTTAAAGCTACGAATTACTAATTTCCTGGTAGTTAATCGTTAAGAATGCTTTGTGTTTACAAATAATTAAAGTAGGTTGCTGTATGAGAAATATGTGACGTAAGATCTGACCCTACTCCTACCTTAGAGATCATACTACTTCCACCCAGCAGGAAATATGTCCTAAGATCTATTTTGTTTTTTATTATACAGAGCTACCAATTTCTAAGCATAGTCAATGCAGAAAACTTAACCTTTCTTCATAAATTTCATTAAAACAGTTTTCCTTAAGTGGAATATAGGTGGAGACAGGGCCTATTGGTCATGCTTTAGCAGACTAGCACAGCTAACAGGCTCACAGTTAATAACTGATGTTTCTGTTATAACTGTAGATGTTTCTATGACAGTAGAGCAACATTTAAAATGATATGAATTTTTTTATGTGTATACTCCATGTTATGCAATGTGGGTGATGCTGAGAAAGCAAGTAAATAAACTAGTTTTCAAGAGGTAATTAGATAGGATGTATGGATCAAATGGCCTGGAACAAGGGAGGAAGGTTAATTTTTCAACACATTACATTTTCTACACTGCACATTTAATTTTATTACATGGTTAGGTCCTTCAACTCACATGCAAAGATACTTTTCTCAGGACACTGCATGTCTGTGAAAGGTATGAATGAGATAATTGTGACAGACAGAATCTCCTGGTGTCACCCCCATTATGATGTCACATTACCAGCCATAAAGAAATGATTTAGTAAGTCTAACCTAAAACCAGGAGCTCTTCAAAATACCAATCTATTTCCAGCTACTGCCCTAGAAATTTAAACGTATGAGAAAAATTCTGTACCATGAGCATGAGAGGCTGGAAGAGACCATGTGCGAAACACAAAAAGAAGATGAATTTCAAAGAGGGCCCATGGTCTCTCGGAATTAGCCCAGGGAGACCTTGAGCAAAGAATCCAGCCATGGCCCGCTGGGCTTCAGGCCTAATTATGAAACTGTAAATATAAATCCATATTTTCTAATGCTGCCGCATATTTTCTGAGGCTTTAGAAAACTAACAGAATAGTATTAATCAATCATCTTTGATCTTCTACAAGGTAAGAACAGAATGTGTCATATTTATGAATGAAACTTTTAAGGGTACTACCAAGACTATGTTTAAGAGCTATAACATAGATATGGTAGAATGCCAAATGACACCCCATAATATCTTTGATGATAAATTTTATGAATATGGCATGGGATATTTATTGCTTGACCTTGTATAAATTCTTTCTACACTTCCTCCTATTCTGTAATTATATAATTCAAAATTATCAGGTAATATGCACTTTTGTTTTGATTGTAGCTATCTTAGAAAACATTTAAAATAAAATTACTGAAAACAAAACATTGTGGGCTGGGGATTTAGCTCAGTGGCATAGCACCTGCCTGGCAAGTGTGAGGTCGTAAGTTTGATTCCCGGTACCGGAAAAAAAAAAAAAACCGAAAACAAAACGTTGTAGCCATTTTTCAAGGACTCCATATTTATCAATGACAAAATCAGTGGATGTTACCTCAACATCAATCATGAAATGCAAAATTTAAGCAATAGAATACACAATATTGGCAAAAGCTTGCATTTGAAATTATATAACATTGCTTAAGAGAACAACAGCGATGCTCTAGTACTTGTACTGACTTCCTGTATATAATACCTAAGCATATGAGCTTAGTTCATAATATTGAGTATAAGCACATTCCAAGATGCATTAGTCCTACCTCTAGTTTTATTTTTTATTTTTATTTTATTTTATATATTTATTTATATAAACATTTTATTATATATATTTATGTTATTTTATATATTTATTTTATTTATTTTTATTTATTTAACTTTGAGGAGGTACCCAAAATCAAACTCAGTACCTTACAATTGCCAGGCAGGTGCTGTGTTGCTGAGCTATATTCCCAGGCCTAACTTTAGTTTTAAATTCCAAAGGAACTATTGGATGACTATACAAAGGAGACACAGAATGTTGGGTGGAGACTTGAGCCTGTTTTTGAAATGGCAAAATAATTATAGCAAAAGATCCTAAGTACTCACTGACATTTGAAATGATACATCATATATCCAGTATACTAATATTAATTTTTTAAGACTTTAAAACTCTGAGCTAACTGGGCTTCCTTTTATAAGTTACTCAGTTTTAGGTATTTTATTATTGTTCTAGGAAATTGACTAATGCACAGACCAAACCATCTCATGTAACAAAGTGCAAAATTTAAATTGCATTTAGTTTTATATAAAAAGGATGAATTACCACAATTAATTTAGTTTTTTTCCAAGAACTAAAGAGCAACTCAAAATTTGTAGATCATTTGGTGTGATTCATTAAAATCCCAGAATAAAAGAAGAAAGTGTTTAAAGTTTATATGGAAATGCATTTGACCAAATTAGACAAGACAAACTAGTGAAAGGCTTAACAATTGCAATAGGAAAATAAATAAAAAGACATAGGAAGTACAAAGATTAGACAGAAGTACTGTGGAAAATCTTAACATTCTTCTCAATTTTGCTCTAACATTAAAACTTGTCTAAAAAATATGTTAAGAAAAAGGCAGTTCCAACATTCAGTATAATAATTTATTTAAAGCTACTATAATTAAGTATGGCTTTAGCGCAATCATAAATATATCTATGAATGCTAATAGTGTGACAACAGACACACATAGTCATATGACAGACTCCATGGGTACACATTCCAACAACAATAGGAAAAAAAAATATTTCCATTAATTGCTGCTGGATTAATTGAATATTCATCCATAATTTTAAAACTACTTCCCATAATTCTACAGAAAAGGTTAAATTTCAGAGGTGGACTCTTATGTTAACATTTGAAATGTAAAGTAATAATTCTTTTAGAATAAAATACAGGAGAAATTATTCATATCTTTAATATACAAATATTTTGAAAAGGATGCACATTTGCTAAACCAGGTTGCATGCACATTAAGGTTTAATTTAATCAAAAGACAGTTTTCTGATTAACTTCACTAAAAAGAAGTGGATATTTTATGCCTCCTGATATGATCACATAGAAAGATGGCCACATCAGTTATGTGCTATCGTTGCAAAAGAATTACTACAATCTCAGTGTAATAATGAGAAAAGTATTTGACATGCTAAGTTTGAGAGAAATTGTAGAAAATACTTGACCAACACTCAAAAGTTTCAAGATTCTGAAAAACAAGGAAAGACTGAGAAGGGTCATAGACCTCCAGAACCTAAGGGGACATGACAGCTATGTACAACATAGCATCCTGAATTGGATCCTAGAAAAGGAACAGGACCATTAAGTGACAAACCCGGTGGTATCCCTGCTACCCTTGAAAAGTTGAAAACTCGGTTAATAATAACAGTACCATTTTCTTAGTTTTGACAAATATACCATGGTAATGTGAGACAATAATGTTAAAGGAAATTGAAACTTAGAAAGCAATATATGAGCACCCTCCATACTGTTTTTACAACTTTAAAACTAGCACGATATTGTTAGAGTTAAAATAAAGCCAAAGGAAGGGAGATATTTTCAGTATAGACCTTGATCAAAGATTTTGTACCCTGAATAACTAAAACCCCTAGAAATCAAAATGAAAAACTAGAAATCTTCAAAACTCAGGCAAAAAATTGGAGATTTTAGTGAAAATATCTCTCCATTGAAAAGGATACTCAACAACAAAACTAATATAGGAAAATGTTTTCAGATTTTATAAGCATGTCAGGTAATTGTAAATTAAAACCATTGAAGTCCTTCAGCATATCCTTTAAAATTCTGAAAGAAAAATAGGTCAGTGAGAAAATAGAGCAATTGACACTCTCACACTCTCCTCTAAGAAAATGAAATACAAGCATTTGGGAAAAACTATCTATTAAAGTTGAATAAATGCATAACTGTAACTCAGAAATGTCCTTTTTATACACCCACCAAACAAAATAATCATATTTCCACATCATATATATATATGTGATATACATATATATGATATACATATATATATATAGTGTTATTTGTTTTTTATTTGGTCTTTTTTTTTGGTACCAGAATCAAACTCAGGACCTTGCGCTTGCTAGGCAGGTGCTTATGCAAGTGAGGTATATCCCAGCCCCATATCTGTATTATTTGGGGCAGGTAAAACTTGCAACCCAGTACTTCGCACATTACAAGTAGCGTTAGATCCGTACAATATATTACCATGAATTGTCAATGAATGTTTTAATGACTTATAAGTACTGTCTTGGTTACTTTTTTCTCGCTGCTGGGACAAAATACCTGACGCCTAAAATTAAGGAAGGAAAGGTTTATTTTGCTTACAGTTTGTGGAGGTTTCAATCCGTACTTGGCAGATTATAAGGCAGAGTGGCACGTGGCAGAGGGCTGCATCTCAGGGCGGCAGCACACAGCTAAGCAACAACCACACACCAGGGCAGAATGGGGGAAAAATGTCCTCAAGCACTCTTTTCCTCTCCCTTACATCTGCAAACTATCCACCCCAGGGCTGGTGTAGCTCTCACACCCACAATTATTCAACTTTAAAAGCCTGTCCCATGGTCGCATGAGGCTTTGGAGGGACACACAGACATAAACCATTATAAGAACTTGTATGGTTGTCACAAATAAATATTAAATAAAAGGAATCAGATACAAAGAAAATAGCTATTCTGATTTCATTTACATATTTTTCATAATTAGGCAATAATCATCAAAGACATTGTTTTTTTTTTTCATCAAAGACATTAAAATGCAGGGGACTGCATAACATCTGGGAAAGGTAGTGAAAGTACACCAAAGTAGGTTTTGGATTGTAGCAATAGTCTGTTACTGTTGCTATTTGGTGTGCTGCTTTTACAGGAATGTTCCCATAGTTCTAATTTATCAAGCTATACATTCATAATTTGCACAATTTTCTTTATGTATGTTACAATCAACAAAATATTCAAGGAACATGCATATTTTAACAAGTGATCTCTATTAGCCGCTCATTTAACAAACACATCAATTTATTATTGGGCATATTTAAAATCCACAAAGAAAACTGCTTACACAGCTACTTTCCAAAGCTCGGTGCATGTGAAGAGAACAGTTTTTTTAACTGTGGTGAGACAGAAGAGAGGCACCTGTCTCTTTCATTTTTTTCTGAGTGGGCTATGGTGGGGGTGGCTTGGCCTGCATCACACACACCCTTCCTTTTTGCTCCCCCTTGCTTCCTTTTGCTTCCCTTTGCATCCTAGACTGGCACAGTCTGCTTCAGTGTCCTCCCTGACTATCAAACTGCCGTTCTCCACTCCAGCATGAGTGCAGCCAGTCAGGCAGCAGGCCTCTCCCAACTCCAGCCACTTCAGAGGATGCCACTACATGTTTGAGAACAGAGAGGGCATCAGGGTGTAGCTAAGATCAGGAAAACAGGGATCTGGTCCCCTTATTTGCATAGCCAACATTCACAGCAAGTGTTCCGGAGGATTCCCTGGTTTCAGCCCCCTCCCTCACTGCCACAGACCTGCATGCTGCCACATCCCAGCCACTCCTCTAGTACAAGAGAAGAGCCCCCTAACTTCCCTGTGCCGCAGGACAGGCCCTGATGAAATAAAGGCTGGCTTTGGTGATTCTGTGAACCTGCTCAGAGTTTATTTCTCAGGTACTGTGTGCGCCCAAGGTCCTGTAAGTCAGCTTCGAGGTTTTATCCTTAGTATTGTGGACAGATGATTAACAGAGCCACTAATACTGATGAGCTCTGGAGCCCAACAGCCAATGAAGAACATCAAGCAACAAAGAACAGCAGCAGTAACCTAGTGCCCTGTAGAGTGGACCTACTCTGTACTGTATATGCTGGCATCAGATGGTAATGACTGGCAGCGGCAATTGTTGGCATCCAGCATTCCCTGGTATCATCTGATGACATCAAGACTGCTAGCAGAGCTGTACTGCATCTATTCATGGTTTTCATCTGAACTGAGAAAAGAACCCTGAACTGATTAGCAACAGTAATACTGGGGATTCAACGAGGGGCATTCACACTGAGATAAATCCCCAGCCTCTTTTCATTGTGTTCATTATGAGAGGCACTCAAGACATGTCAGTTTACTTCCTCCTACACTGATCATCATTCTTTGTTACTAGCCTTTTTTGGGAAATAGCCATAGTGACCACAGGCTCAATCACATTACAAAGTAGCTAACACTCCCCTGAATTCAAATCCATAGGCTTCTGCCACTCTGTGCATATGAAAACTTTTGATTCTCACAGTTTTTATGTTTCCTCTCATATCGAACTTCTCCTGCTTTTACCTTACAGATAACTATGAAGCAAAATGAAAAAAATATAAGACATCTTTTGCCATTTTTAACTTACAGGGGAATTTCTTTATTTTTTACTTTCCACATACTGTGTTTTACAAGGTATGTTACATTTCCCATCCAAAGCTTTTAATTCTAGTCATTTCTTTCACTAGAATTTCTGGGTCTAGATCCCAAGTGCATTTTAAAAATTTTAATATCAATTTTTGTTTTTACTTTATTCCTTGATATCAATATGAAAATGCAGTACAAATAATCTGTAATTGCTGAACTTATGATTTTTTGAACTTCACCATGCTGTTAAAGTGGTATATATCCAATTGAAACTGCATTTTAAATTTTAAATTTTGTTCCATTCTCTATGCTGGCAAAGTGAAGTACAGTATTCTCAGGATCCTAGACAGTGGCAGTGAGCTGTAGCTCCCCATCAACCACAGGAAGACGAAGGCAAATAGCCGTTGCTGTCTGTGTGTAGTGCTGAACTTCGATATTTGGTAGGTAAGGTGTATTAAATGCATTTTCTGATGAAGTATTTTCAAATTATGTTTGATTTATCTTTATGTACAAGAAATTGAGAAACAGCTTGGTAAGTATCTTTATATTGTTAGTATTAGCCATTGTACTGCAGGATTTTCCTGTAGAAAGATGGGCCACTGATGCCTATTCCCCAGGAAGAGCTTTCTGGGTAAAGCTCAGAAAGCGGATTTATATCCAAAAGCTGAGTGCTGAACATGGCAGTGTCGCAAACTTTTACACAATATTTATGCCTTTGTCTCCTTTATGTGGGCATACACTAATGTTTTGCAGTCTATTTGGGTATGATTTATGTTACAAGGTTACATCAGAACTACATATGTGCACACAGAGGCTGATATCTACACATGGTAAGAAGTCCTGCCTACATACATATCAGAGGTGCCCTTTCCCAATGGATTCATTCACTGTAATTCTGACAGTAATTATGCCTTACTTTTGAGAGGGAGTAATGATCTTTTATGAAGCTCAGAATGAGTGTACATTTAAATATGTACCCATTGTGACCACAGAAAGAGATATTTAGAGCCCAAATAAATATATAGCTGAGATGTCAGAAGCTACTAGAATAGCATGCAAAAGATAAGCACTATTAAAGAGATCCAAAGTTTGATCACAGTAGATGATTACTGAAATTAATATTTAAGTTATTTAACAATATCTATTGTTCCTGAAAATAGCTATGATTTACATACTATAATACTTCATTTTTCTGCTAGGATTGTTAAAGAAAGGGAAATAGACTGAAGACAGTTATAATTTTTATATTTATTTAAAGTATAGTATCACAGAGCTTTGAAAAAAATTATCTCTAATCTCCCATAACATTGATGTGGTTTTGCTAACAATGCTAAGCAAATGCTGCTAGCCAGTATTTGATAGTGCAACACTGATTTACACTGTAGTGCTCATAAGGTGCTGGTGAAGAAGACACAGTTCAATAAATCAGAAACACAAGGAAGCAGGGTGAATGCCTATCAGTAATGGAATGTTTACATGATTTACTTGGTGAAGAAAAGCTTACTAGAGGGATTACAGGAAAAGCTAATCATGAAATAACATTCACTGATATTTTGTCTCCAGAGAGTTCAGGAACAAAATTCAACTTCTTTGAAATTAAACAAATATTCTCTATTCCTTTGAAGACAAAACATACCTACTACAAATGGAAAACCAGAATAAAAGGGACTGCTAGACCTATTGGTTTGATTGTTCTTTCAGCAATCTAGTCCTTGTTCAAGAAAGACACATTGAACATGGGAAGGTAGTAGGCACAAACACGGGAGTGAAACACTAGAGAGTGAATCTTTAAATTTCAAAAAATTACTACACTAAAGGACTGATGGCCATCATTTCCCCTTGAAATACCCATCCTCACTTTGATTACACCTATCCCATCATTCTTGCCATTTTCTGAAGCAGTTCTGGAGCTCCACTTTCATGGTGTCTTTATGAAGTATGGTCAAAATTCAATGAATGCCACTGAAAAATACCATCAAATAGAAGGATAAGATCATAAAAAATTATGGTAGGTACAAAAGAAGAATTATGGCATATATACCCAACTTATTCACTAGATCTCACACCATGTGACTCCTAGCTCTTCCCTGAAGTCAAATGACCATAAAAGGGAAAAATTTTGATCTGATATAGGACATCAGGCCAGCAGGGACAGCACAACTAGAGACATTCACTAAAAATAGCTTCCAGATCTGCTTCTGAATGTCAGAATAATGATGAGGTAAGTATATCTGAAGCAAAATGAAAAATTTTGAGAGGAATTAAGACAATATGTCATTTAAAATAATAATTTTTTAAAATTTCATCATTCACCATATTTTTTATCACATCACATATATTTCACCTAAAAGATAAAAATTTGAGTCTGGATGAGCAATCAAAGAAGATAGTATATCAAAACCTTTCCTGAATTCAGTTATCATCTTGCTGTATTAAAATATCATCACAAATGTAGTAGCTTTAAACAAGGCTCTTTTTTATGTTTTCTGAGGGTCAGGAATCACACAGCTTGGTGTGTCCTCCTTAAGTGGGCAATTAAAGAGTCAGCTGAGGCTTGGGAATTTCATTAAAAGATTTCACTGGGGAAAGATCTGATTCCAATGTTTTTTAAGCTTTAATACAATTTGTTGCTCTGTAGAGTTAGGATTAACAGTTTCATTTTCCTGCTGACTATTTAAAATTTGCCTACAGTTTCTTGATACATGGGTTTCATGGCTGATTACTTTCTCAAAGCCAGCGAGAGAGTGGGGAATTCCAGTGAGAAAGACACTACAATCTACAGAGCATGATCACATACATGTCATCACACATGGACCATCATCTTTGCCAAAATCTCTTCATTAGAAACATGTGAAAGATGCCCTCACATTCAGGAAAAGAGGGTGACCGCAGAGCATAAATATCAGCAGCTGAGGATCATGACTTATATTTTGAGTCTTACACATACACACACAAAATCTGTGTTACTTTTGCCTTCCAAATCTAAGGTTTTGTCTTACCTAATTTGTCTTTTTAATAGAAGTATGACAGACTTAGCTTTTTATATGCAGGTTACTGATATATATTGAATTAATTTTGTATATTATGCTGGACATGCTGGAACATCCCCATAATCCCAGCACTTGGGAAGCTGAAGCAGGAGGATTGTTGTGAGTTTGAGCCAGCCTGGGCTACAAAGTTAGCTCAAGTCCAGCCTGAACTGCATAACAAGACACTGTCTCAAAAAGACAAAAAAACAAACAAAAAGAGTTTGTATATTATGTGAGGTAGTAACATGTTCTTTACTATATTTTTCATATACCATTTCTAAAAGGAATCTTCATCTTTGGTGGATTACATTTGTACTGCTACCAAGTGTCTCTTAACTATATATAAGTGTCTTGATTTCTAAATTCTTTCTTTTGAGTCATTGATTAGTAAGCATGTCTATCAGTGACACATTGTCATGATCTCTTTTTTGCATTATGATAATTCTTGTATTCAGAGTAAGAGCTCAAACTTTTCCATTTGTTAGGGCTGGTTTATACCCTTTTCTTTTTTCAAATATATTTTAGAATAAGTACATAATATCTGTGAAAGCTCTGCTGTACTTTGATTTAGATTGCATTGGATCTAAAGATTAAGATGGAAGACATTTTATCTTAACAATAGCTAACAATTAAATCTGTGAATGCAGAGATTCTTTCCATTCATTTAGGTCTTCTTAAATTTGTCTCAAAAATAAGTAATCAGTGTAGAATTATACATTGTTATAGAGAATATTCTTCACATTATCCTTTTATTCTAAGTAATTGTAAAGGGAACCTATTTGTTGAAGTAGAAATTTTATACATTTTTTTAGGATTTTCTACCTACAGAATTACCTGATCTACATAGAAAGTTTCATTTTTTCTTTTCCACAGATTTATGCTTCGCATTAGTGTTGCCATTTCTGTTCATTTCGAATTTGATTTAAACTTGTGAAAGCAAACAATCTTGCTTTTTTATGCATGAGGGGAAAGCAGTTGTCTTTTATTAGCACAGGATACATTGGGAGGCTTTATTTTTATTTTGGTTTGGTTTGGTTTTTTTTGGTACCCAAAATCAAACAAAAACTCTTCTGCTTGCCAGGCAGGCACTTGTGCCACTGAGTTTATCCCCAGCTGGGAAGCTTTAGATAGATTTCTCCCATAAGTTCAGAGAAGTTACCGTCAATTCCAAGATTTTTACCATGAATGAGCACAAAATTATATTACATATTTTTCTCCATCCAGTGAAATTTTCATAACATCTCTTTTTCAGTTGATTACATGATTGTTAATTAACTTAACTGATTGTACCCATAGGTTGATCAACTTGGACTGATCAATGCATTCCTGAGAGAAAGCCAACTTTGATGAGACTATTATCCTTGTTAGACTATTATCACATATTAAGCTGAGGATCTTTGTATTAATAAGATTATTGTATACGGTACTTACTTTCTTGCTGTATTCTCCCCTCTGATTCTGTTGTAGTGCTAATCTTTGACTAAGCTAGCAGAGAGGGTTTTGAAAATTCCCAACACAAACCAACAATAAATGTTTGTTGTAATGGATTGCTTATTGCAATTTATAAATATGCTTTGAAATATACAATAATTATGTTTTGTTAAAATATTTTTTAAGCCAGGGATATAGCTCAGTGGCACAAGTGCCTGCCTAGCAAGTAAAGGGTCCTGAGTTCAATTCCTGGTACCGAAAAAAAAGAAAATGAAAAAGAAAATATTTTTTAAGTTGCATTCTAAAGCTCTCCCTCTATCCTATTTCATTATTTAAAAGACTTTGTGGTATTTATTTTTATTTTCTTTTAAATGTTTAATAAAATTTATTTATAAAGACATTTTGGCTTATACTTTACTTGTTGACAAACATTCAAGGTAAATTTTTCATTTATCTAATAACTATTGTTTATGATAGCATTTCATTTATTTCATATTCCCTTGTGGCCATGATTTCTGTACTCATTTCTAGAAAAATCTAGATCACTTTGTAATAAAATTAGCTTACAGCGACATTTTGCTTTTTGTCTAGATTTCTCTTTCTTAAATTTTTTCATATGTATATATTTCTCATTATTTTGGATTTAGTTAATAAGAATCTTTAAATAAAATGTCCTTGTGATAGTTAACTTTATGTGGTTTCACAACAAGGCTACGGTGCGGTTTTTGGTTAGGCACCAGTCTAGATGCTGCTGTGTCAATAATTTTTAGATGTAAACATGCTTAAATAAATAGATTTTGACTCAGCTAAATAACAGACTTGCCCTAAGTGGGTGTTATGGTTGATACATTATGTCAACTTAAGGAGTCTAGAGGTTTGCCTAAGTGACTCAGGAGGTCTGCATTCTGGGGTGAAAAGGACATGCCCTTATCCTTCTGGGATGTTGTTCATTGTGCCAATTTGAGAAGTTTAGGAGGTTA